GGGTCCAGCTTCGGCTCACATCACAATATCATGGTCCATGGGTTCGAGCCCCACATCCGGCTTTGTGCTGACAGCTCAGAGCCTGGAGCCCGCTTCGGATTCTGTGTCTCCTCCCCTCTACCCCTTCCCCATTCCCTTGTGTGTGTGTGTCTCTCTCTTGCTCTCAAATGAATAAATATTAAAAGAAAGAAAGAAAAAGGGAACAGCCACACCAAATTTATTGCCTTGCATCTTGATAGTGATGGTGCCAAAGCCACATGATCTGAACTTGAGTGCTTGCCAATTTAGGTTTACTCTTTTTCAGACACTGACTTGCTCCCTACTCCCTGGCAAGTGCTTATAAGCATTTCCTTCCAAGAGTGGATGGGTGAACAAAGACAGTTGTGCTGTGGAAGCAGCTCAGAGCTTATGATGTGGGGATGGTGAGCAGGGGAGCCTGACTAGGTGATGGCAGGCCACTTTAGACTGTGGTTGAGGGGCTCCTGGGTGGCTCAGTCGGTTGAGCATCCGACTTCGGCTCAGGTCATGATCTCACAGTTCGTGGGTTCGAGCCCCACATTGGGCTCTGTGCGGACAGCTTAGAGCCTGAAGCCTGTCTTCGGATTCTGTGTCTCCCTCTTTCTCTGACCCTCCCCTGCTCATGCTCTCTCTTAAAAATAAATAAAACATTTAAAAAGTTAAAAAAAATAGACTGTGGTTGGGATGGGATGTGATTGGTAACGTGAGCAGTCAGGACAGGTAAGTAAAGAGGCTGGCGAAGTCCTCCATAGCCTTGGGGAAGTAGACTCCTTAGCAGCTTAGCAGCTCTGAACAAGGTCTTCCTCAGTACTTAAGCCTGCCTTTCTCTTCTGCAGTTACGCTATGATGATGAGGTGAAGCGGGTCGTGGCTGAGCCAGTGGAGTTGGCCCAGGAGTTCCGCAAGTTTGACCTGAACAGCCCTTGGGAGGCTTTCCCTGCCTATCGCCAGCCCCCTGAGAGTCTCAAGCTTGAAGCTGGAGACAAGAAACCTGAAACCAAGTAACTCCAGGGAAGGCCTGTGGATACTGGAAAAGGCTTATCTATACTAAGTGTCTCTGTAAATAAAATCCTTAGACTAACCACTTCTTGTGTGCTTTTGGGTAGAAGTGAAGCCTGACTTGGGAAAGGGGAGATTCAGCAGGGGTTTTTCCCTCTTAAAGAGACTGCCAAACCAGGAGTCTCTTTTTTAATGGGACTAAATAGTGCAGTTGGAGTCATGGTGACCTGCAGGCCTGGATATACTTCTGAGGGAGGGTTCTGGAGCTGAAATGGAAAGTTCTCACGGTCCATAGGGCTTAGGATGGGTGTGGCTTAGCATCTCCTAAAAACTGGAGGACCCTTAACAACTACATGAGAAAACCCCTCATCACAGCCAACTATCTGGTGGCAGCTGATGGATGGAGCAGCCTCAGTGGAACCAGGGAGACTCCCACCCACCCTCATCTCATCTAAACATCCATAGCGTTTCATGAGCCACGACTCATTTTTGAGTCTTGAACCCTGAAACCTTGCAATCTAACAGCCCATCATATTTGGGCTAAGGTAATCTTCCTAGGCTCTAGCCAGAGCTGAGAATGTTGTAAACAAGTAAAAGAGGTCCCAGGACTGGTGCAAAAGATTCACAGAAGCGGCAGCTCTATCTTCCAGGGACGGGACTCCCTACCCCAGCCAGCCTGGGGTCTGTTTGGCTGGTGGCTAAGCACCTGAGTTGCAAGTGCTCGGCCCTGCCTGTGCATGGGACCACCCGAACAGCCCGCCATGCCACTGGAAGACCAGTGCAGTTGCAGGACCAAGCTCTGCAGCTGATGCTTTTGGCTGCTGAGGGGCTCCCTGGAGGCTGGGCTGGGCCCGATTGGGTGTTAGAGCCTGAGCTCAGCTGCAGGATGCTTTGGGGGTGAGGACAGATAGTAAGGTAGTGTTAAAGTGCTGGGCTTTCTCCTACCTCTTGGGAGGGCCAAGCTAGAGCTGTTTGCTACCAAGCACCGTTTTTCTATTAACTAAGCATCCCGCCCATCTGGGCAGGAACAGGCTGAGGGCTTGACAAGCAGGGAGCCAGGCTCCTACTGCCAACAACTTAAGATTCCACATCTCCATGGGATGGAAAGGTCCTGGGAAGTCAGAGCCAGCCCCTCCCTGTTTAGCATTGAAGGCTGACACGCAAAATAGGGAACGCCTGAGCAGCCTGCAGTGGAAAGTTGGAGCTGTGGTGTGTGGCAAGCGGATGCAGGAGCAGAGAGCAGCTGGGGAGAGGAAGACTCAGAGGACGTGGTGGGGCACAGCTAGGACGATGCAGTTCCTGGACTGGCTAATAGTAGCCATTTGCCTTCTCCCTGGGGTAACTACAACCCAGCACTATCCAGGTACCAGGGCTTTAGGGTTGGGTGGATGGGAACCAAGGAAGGCTGCCAGCTGACAGCAATTAAAGTTGGTTCTTTCTGAACCTAGCAGGTCCTAGGAACTGGGCATAGTGGGTACCAGACTGACCTGTGCAGCAGGCGGTAATGGTCTGGGCGCCAACCCCAGAACCAGAAAGGTCCAAGTGAAATGAAGGGAGGTAGTCCTAGTGCCCTCAGTGCCAGCCCTGGCACTGAGCTGGGCACAGAGCTGGGCACTGGCCTTATCCTAGATGTGCAAAGCAGGACCTCTGGACCTGCCCTGGGCTTGAGACAATCATTCTAAGGGCTGGGCAGCAGACCAGAGATGAAGGAAGCTGCAGCAGACAACCTGCCTTGCCTGGCCTCCCTGGCTTCCGCATGAGCACTACTGAGAAGCAAGGAAGGAGTAGGTTCTTCCAAAGGGGGTCCTCGACCTCTGGGGAGAGTTACTGGCACTGTTTTAGATCACACTGTCCCAGATGATTATAGGGAGGGGAAGTGGGAAGTGAAGTGTCTTGTGACCAGTGGTCTGGAGCTCTTTGCCAAGGGAACTGTAGAAGTTCAAGGAGGAGTCCTGGACACTTGCCGAGGTGGTATCTGGGTTTGGGATGATGATTTTGGGATCACAAGACTTATGCCTGGGAGGGAGAATGCCAATGTGCATGTGTCTGTAAGGGAAGGGGGACATGGGATGGCATTCCTACTCTTTTGTAGATAGAACTTCTTGGCATCCCTACCAAGGAGCTAAGGGGCACTTCTGGGAGGCTGGGGTGTTCAGGGTGGAACTTGGCAGGGACCTGACTCCTTTCTGCTGCCCCAGGGCAGCCCATGGACAGAGCCAGCGTGGGAGGTGGCCTGCAGGAGCCAGAGGCCCCGGAAGTGATGTTTGAGGTCTTTCCTCCAGCCTGGGATATGGGGGTGGGAATGTCCAGAGGTCCCTAAGCTCAGGGTTGGGAAGGGGGATGTCTTAGGCTGGGCCTGCTGGGGGAGGGGGGCCACCCAGCATGAGTCCTACTGCCTGCTTATGCTCCCCCCGCCCTGCCCTCCCCACTCCCGGCTCCAGCCCACCCCTTACATGGCTCCCCTTGCAGCTGCTTTGGGCTGGGCTGGAGCTGGATGTCATAGGGCAGCTGCACATCCAGGACGAGGAACTGGCGTCCACACGCCCAGGCCGCCGACTCAGGCTCCTCCTGCAGCACCACGTGCCCAGGGACTTGGAGGGTGCTAAGCAGCGGCTGCGGCAGTTCCAGGACCTGCGGAAAGGGCCTCCTCTTAGCCCTTGGGACTTTGAACACCTGCTCCTCACAAGCCTGTCCTGTGTCTACCGGCTCCATAAGGCTAGTGAGGCTGAGGAAAGAGGTCTCTGGGCCCAGGTCTTCACGCTGCTGGCACAGGAAACACTCTGGGACCTATGCAAGGACTTCTGCCCCCAGGGGCAGCCCCCTTCTCTGGGGCCCTGGGCCTTGATCCTTGACCCTGTTCCCTGACCCTCCCCAACTCCTCCCCCATGCCAGACCCACCCTGGGCAGTGGCTTCCATCTGGCACCTAGTTCTTTCCACTGTGTTCAGGTCTCTGGCCTTGGATCGGACCCTAGAACCCAGTTTACCTCTCCCCCATTTTCCTCCCTGAGCCCTGGCAGGCTAAGAGCCTGGTCTCAGGCAGCAGGCACAGACTTGCGGGGTGTGTGTGTGTGTGTGTTGGGTCAGGGTTGAGAAGTGTTCAAGAGATGCCGAAAAAGAAGCTGCCCCCAGGAAGGCCAAGTTAGATGCTCCAAGTCCTGTGGAATCTACAGGGACCCTGTGAATGCTCAGCACCCGGTCTTAATTTAGATACCCCCTTTTAAGTCCATCGATGCTGTGGAGTCCCTGAGCCCTAAGTTCCCCGTTTGGACTAGCATAGACTGGACATCTTCAGTTCCGCCCGTTGGAGAAGGAGTGGAGGAAAGCAGGTGGAGGAACCTTACCTTTTCTGGAGGGGGCGGGTGGAGACAGGGAAGAGGATGTTTTCTGGTCCATCGCAACAAGGCTCAAATGAACACCTCAGAGTGGGGAGTGAGGCTGGGAGGGCAGAGGCAAGCTGAGGCTGGCTGCTGTAGTCCTGATCCTGTGTAGCTGCCCCATTAAACGTTCTGTTCTGACCTCCTGTGTCCTTCCATGCCAGAGTAAGTTGTTTACCCTTGTCCTGGGCAAATCACCCTCCCTGTCCTGGGAAGGCAGAAGTTGGGGTAACTAGATATCAACCCATTCCACACGCTCTGCTAGAAGAAGGAATGTTCTGTTCCCTTGAATCCCATCCTCCCAGAAAGATAGCAGGGTGTGGCCCCTTGTCACCAGAAGGAACCAGCCAGACCCTAAGAATGACGTCGTAGGTCAGTGGGGAGGAGTTACAAGGACTGACTGTAAAGGGATTTGAAGAGGAGCCCCAAGGGGTCGGGTGGGTAGGGTTCAGTTCAATCAAATTCCCATCTCCTCGCCCTCCCGGGGCCTGACCAAATCCTGCCTTCTGCCCTCCGACCCCCACCCCCGTCTGCAGTAGTCAGGGCCTTCCCGCCCCGCCAGCCCGAGACCACAGCGTCGCAGACAAGACAGAGCGCAGGACCCCGGGCAGACAGGCGCCGGCGCAGGCCCACTTTATTGGCAGAGTCAGCCACACTGGGCGGGCCGTCATGCTCGCGCCGGCGGGGTCGTTCCGGCTACGGCCCGGCACGCACGCCCCAGGCCGCATCTGGGCTCCTCTCCCGGTCGAGGCTCAGAGCTCCGGGGGCCCGAGGCCCGGCGGGCCTGCGGGGGCGAGGTCGGGGTACACCAGGAAGCCGGAGAAGGTGATGTACTTGCCGTGGTTGCTGTAGGCGCCGTAGCCGTCGTGGTCGTGGCTGAGCAGCCAGACGGCGTCGCCGCGCCGCAGCGCCAGCATCACGCTCTGGCTCTGCATCTCGCGGCGCCGCGACGCGCCGTCGTCGTAAATCATGGCCTGCACCTCGTCGCGGTTCTTCATCAGCTTCACGGACAGCGTCTTGCGCGGCAGCTTGCCCAACGTGAAGGAGAAGAAGTAGGCGCCCGGCAGGCGGCAGCGAAACACGCCGGCCGCCGCGTCGAAGTCGCCGCCGATGTTGACGAGCTCCGTGTCGAAGGCGAGCGGCCGGTGCCGCGGGCCCGGGCCCGCGTCCGAGCCCACGAGGCTGCGCGTGCGCGCCGCCGAGAAGGCCGAGCGCGGCTCGGGGGGCGCGGGCGGCCCGCGCGCAGGCGCGTCGGCGTCGGCGTACACCAGGTAGCCGCTGAAGGTGGCGCCGGGGGCTCCGAGCGCGTACTGCGGGGCGCCGTGCAGCCGCAGCCACACCGTGTCGCCGTAGTCGAGCTGCAGCATGGCGCTCTGGCTGGCGGCGCGGCGCGCGCCCGGCCGCCGCTGCTCGTCGAAGGCCAGCGCCTGCACCTCGTCGCGGTTGCGCACCAGCATCACCGACAGGCTCTTGTGCGGGGCCTTGCCAGCCGTGAAGGAGAAGAAGTAGGCGCCGGGCACGCGGCAGCGGAACTGGCCTGTGGCCGCGTCGAAGTCGCCGCCGATGTTGACGTACACCTTGTCGAAGGTCACCGCCATCTCCGATGTGCCCTCCAGTGGGGTGGTGCGTGCCGCGGAGAAGGCCGAGCGCAGCTCCGTCGAAGCCGAGCCCGGAGCTGGCCCCAGGGCCCCGCAGGCGGCAGGGCCCAGCAGGCTCAGCAGGAGCAGCAGCATTGTGCCTGGGAGGGGGAGGCAGAAGGGGGAGGAGGGTGGACGGCTGTGCAGGCGGCGCCTCCAAGTGCCCAGAGTTGCGAGACTGGGAGACGAGTTCTCGTCACAGCCCTGCCCTTGACCCACACCTAGGACTCAGGGTCCTACACACCTGGACTAGATCAGTCAGCCGGCCTCAGGGTCCCGCAAGAGCTTGTTAGAGCACACATTGTCGGACCCCCACCCCCAGAATTTCCACTCACTAGGTTTAGGACGAGGCTTGAGAATTTGCATTTCTAACAGGTTCCCGGCAAGGCAGATGCTTCTCGTTCTAGGACCGCACTTCCGGGAACAACTATTAGATTAAGCCAGTGAGTCTCCTTTTTTTTTTTTTTTTTTTTTTTGTTAGCACTGCACCCCTTCCTCAAGTGAAAGCTCCCGTGCCTGTACCACAGATACAAGCAGAAAGGTTCTGAGAGGCCTATAGTCTGGTCAGCTGGGTTTACCCCCTCCCATCTTGGCACCACAGAGGGAGGTCAGGGGGTCTCTGAGTGTCCTTCCGCCTGGTTTGCTGCATTTGCCTGTGGCTATGCTGTGGGCCTTGGCCTGCCCCTCACTCAGGCACTAGCTCTTTGTACTGAGGTCCTCCACGGTGACCACTGCTTCAACCCCCATCTGGGCAGGAAAGAACACAGCTGCTCATTGACCCCTTTCCTGGCCTCTGACCCACTCAAAGGTCAGCTCGCACTCTGGACTCCCCAGGGGCCCTTCTTGCAGTAAAGAGGCCAGAACAGTTGGGCTTTGAGATAGGTTCCTCCCCCCCAATGAAATCTGAGTAAGAGATAGTGACCCTTTCTGGGCTTGACGGCTGGTCACTGAGGGCAGAGGGAGAATGAGGGGCTGCTGTGAACAGAGCGGGAGAGTGACAATTCCAGCAAGGCTTTGGCAAGATTGTGAGCTCCAGGAGCTTTATTTCTCAGCAGCGGTAGAGTGAAGGACTGACAGCTCTATCTGGGCTCAGTTCCTGGCTCTACTGCTTAAATGCTGTGAAATCTTAGGCGAGTTCCTTAATTTCTCTGGGCATGGCTTTCTTTATGTAAATGGGGAGGAGACCTGCCTCACAATCTTACTGGGAGGATGCTGAGATAGCAGGTGTGAGCACAGTTTGTGAAGGGCACTGTCACCCAGGTGTGCAGATGCTTCTGTTCTCAGACTTGAGAAAAGTGCTCTGATCAAGTTCTTGACATAAGGAATTAGGGGCTCAGTAACTCCTGCCCCTGGGAGCTTGTGAAGGCATCGCTTAACTCCCCCCAAGCTTCTTAGTAGGGCACAGGCTCTGGGGCTTGAATACCCAAAGGCCCTGAAGTGAGACAAAGCAGGGAAGAAAATGAGCTGGCCACCGCCTTGGATGTGGGCTTCCATGGGAAGTACCCTGGGAGTGTGTGTAGCTTGGTGTCTCTTAAGACCCCGGGGCTTGCTGAGAAGGGTTGGCAGGTGCGGTTGTACCCTTCACCATGCCATTCACCTTAGGGTCCGTGGGCACTGGAATCTAGCCCACATTCTACTTGCCCAGCGGTGTGGAGCTACTGCACCTGGGGAAGAGTGTGCCTCTTCCGAATATTCATAATAAAGATCCCCAAGTCCCTAACCTAGCTGAACATTCCAGAGGAAGTGCCTTTTCTAATTCCTACAAAGGCACCCCATGGGCTAGCCAATACCCTTGATGAAGTCAGGAAAGAGGGAGGGGACCCATCTACAGTAGTGAAGATTGCACTTCATGAGTATTCCCTTTTACAAAGTTCTTTAGACACATCTGGTCTCACAGCAACCCTGCGAGGCATGGGAGCCTTCTCCCATTTTACAGCTGGGAAAGTCAAGGCCCAAACAAGGGGAAGCATTTTGGCCCACGGTTACCGTGCCCACTGAGGCAACCTTGAACCTAGGTCTTTCAGCTCCGAATTCAGTATGCCTTCCTCTCCATCATCGTTTCCTCCTAGACACATTTCCAGCCGACCTGTCCTTAGCCTCAGTTTCCCTTTTTGCAAAAAGAGGAGGAGAGCTAAGTGAAATGAATCTTGGGATCCAGGACGAAGGAGAAAGAAAGCAAAAAGCAAATAAAAGCAACCAGACAAGCAGAAACTTAGCGTTTTGCCTTCTGGGAGTATGGGAACATCTCCACTCTTCCTGACCCTGCTCCCCCCTCCCAGGTCCTACCCCAGGAGCACCTGCCCACCCTACCCTCAGCAATCTCCCTGCAGAGTCTGGTGCACCCCATGAGGGCCAGAGGGTCCTCTCGCTTGTCCCGTACCCAGCCTCTGCCCATTTCTCACCCACCACTGCCCACTTCCCAGGCCCCTAGGTCCCCATCCTTCCTTAAATCCCCTTCCTTGCGCAGGTGCGGGGGGTGGGGGGGGTGGGGGGGGAATGTCAGGTGGGCCTCATAGCTCCAGGAAAGGAAATAAATGGCTGTTCCTAGCTCTGCCCAGGTGAGGCTCAAAATAATCATCTTCAAAGAGAAAAAACTGGGACACACAGAGCTGGGGCCGACCCAGAGCCCCGGAACCGACGGGGGAGGTGCCGTGATGTCAAGCTAAGGGGTTCTTAGAGCCCCGCTCCCCGCCAAACCCACTCCCCAATGACCCCTCTCTCGAGCCCCGCCAGAACCTCCTCCCACCTTGAAAGCCCCTCATGTTCCCAAAAATAGAAGTCCCCCTTTTACAGAAGCCAATTAATCCTTTCTCCTGAAATAAAGAAATCTCTCGGGAAGGGATACCCCAGACCCCACCCCCACCCCCCAACCCAGCCTTCCTTCATCCATCCCTTCGGAGTGAAAGCCCTTGAGGCTCTTTCATGAAAAAGCTCTCAGGTCCTCCTTTCAGCAAAAAAGGAGCCGATTCCCCCGCGCCTTCGCCCGCCCCCGCTTCCATACGGGAGAAACCTTGGCTCCCCGCGCCTGAGCTGCCCTCACCTGGCTGGGGGCGGCGGGCGGGTCGGGTTCGCTCCGAGCCCGCGATCCGGCACCGGGCTCCGGGCGGGCGCTGGGGCTGCGCACTGACCGCCCGCGCTGCGGCGGGGCCGGGCCTGGCGGGGGCGGCGGCGGCGGCGGCGGTGGCGGCGGCGGCGGGGCGCTGGGACCCCGGGACCTCGGGGCGGGCGCGGGGCAGCGAGGAGCTAGGATAAGAGGACGGCTGAAGAGCGAACCGAGCAGATCGCCGGGAGGAGCGGCAGGGGAGCGGCGGGAAGGGGGAGAGGGGAGGAGAAGGGAGAGGGAGGGGCGCGCCGAGGAAGGGGAGCCGTGCAGGGCCTAGGGGCATCGCACAGAGGAGGCCCCTGCTCAGGCTGCGCGGAGCCCTGGGCTCTTCCTCATCCGTGACCTCCCTAGAGCTTCACCCTCTGGCTCCACAGAACGCGCATCATCAACCCAAGTTAGCAGATGGGGAAACTGAGGTCTGAGGCAGAGGCCAAACTGGGGGTGGTCCAGGGCACTCTCCAGGCCAGCCTCCTCTCTGCTTTGAGGAGAGGGGACTGCAGCAGGACACAGAGACTGGACAAGCCCCTAGGCTGCAAGGACAGTGGAAGGTGAGATTTGGGCTGGGACAGATGTCCAGACCGAGTGGCACTGGAGGAGGGGGGTCTGAGGGAAGAGAAGGATAAAATGGGTCAATGTCACCAGTTAAAAAAAAGAGCTTAAAGTGACCTCATTTTTCTTCCTTATCTCCGAATCTCAAAATGCCATTGCTGGTTAGGAAGGAAGGAGGAAGACCAAGCCCCCAGACAGGAGAGTGTCAGCCCGGAGCCCCTGGGGAGGGGATGCAAAGGAAGGGCATCCTTGGGGCAGAACTGGGTTTTGGCTGAGTGGGCTGCTTCCAGGGTGCCTGCAAGAAGGGAGAAGGTTAAGAAAGGCACTGGGAGAGCTCAAAAGGGCCTGTCTGCAGAGGGACAGCCACCCAGCTGGGACAGGTGTTGCAGGATCCAGTGGGACGTCAGGGCTGGGAGCAGGTATCTTCCCACAGCTCAGCACTTACTTACCAGAGCCCGCCCCTCCTCCCATGGCCTCTGCTCTGGGCTTGGACCCCCTTCATCAGGGCTGCTGTGCAGCTGTCCACCACGCGGCACTCAGTAGGTGTTGATGAGTGGATGGCTTAAAAGAGGCCCCGTTCTCAGCTGCCAGGAAAAGGTGCCCCTCCTCTGCCCCTGGTTGACACAGAAGGCCCGTGTTCTAGTCCCTGCTCTGCCACAGACCCTGTGTGTGGACCCACAGAAGCCCGGGGCCCTGTGAAGTCCTCTCCCCTCTGGACCTTTCCTTCTGGAACTCTCAAAACTTATGTGACCCCAGTTAGTCTGATGCAGGTTAGTCCTCACGAAGGCATTGATAATGATAATGAGCTTATTAAGGTTTCATCAGGTGTTAGGTGAATGATGAATGAATGAATGAATGGATGAATGAATGAATGAATGAATATGTGGCTCAATGGAAAGAAATGAATGGAGGCATTTCGGAGTGGGTCCTCAGGGTATTTGGGGCCTAGGGTGAAGCACCTGTCTAGCCCCTGTTAGATCACGATTGTCCTCTTCACCAGTTTGAAAAGCTTGGGTCACAAGCCTATGGGAGGGCATGAGGCAGGGTGAGGGTGGGATGCGTCACACAGGGATGTAGCAGGAGGGCTGGGCAAGGCAGGATACCAACCTGGGGCAGCCACAACCCCTTTAGAACATAGGTTCTCTTTTGGACCAGGAGGCTGGGGCTGCCATCTTGAAAGTGCTTTTTGTTTTTTGGGTTTTTTAAATTTTTTTAATGTTTTATTTATTTCTGAGAGAGAGAGACAGTGTGAGCAAGGAGGGGCAGAGAGAGAGGGAGGCACAGACTCTGAAACAGGCTCCAGGCTCTGAGCTGGCTGTCAGCACAGAGCCCGATGCAGGGCTGGAACCCACAAACTGTGAGATCATGACCTGAGCCGAAGTCAGACGCTCAACCAATTAAGCCACTCAGGCGCCCCTTGAAAGTGCTTTTTGAAGGTGAGGTTCCAACGGTGGGAGTGGAGGGAAGAAGGCAGGATTCTCCAGGCACAACCATTAAATCCGAGCGGGTGCCTGGCTCAGGCTGAAAGCCATTCGCCACTTTCCCTGCTGAAGCCAGGGTCAGGGAGACAGGTGGCTGGGGCAGAGGGCAGCAGGGTTTGCTTCGGGGGCCCCTGGGAAAGGGACATGGAGAAAGAAGCTGCCATAAGCCGGTGGGTGACAAGGGCAGGCTGAAGTAGGGGGCAAAGGAATGCGCCAGAATGGAAGGAGGTCGTGGCATAGCATTCAGAGGAAAGAGCCCGAGGCAAATTGTACTTCCCTTCGGCTCCTACCCTGTTGTGCAGCTATTACAACACAATAATAATTTAAATATACTCCTTTTTTGCTTGGTTGTTTTTTTGGAGAGAGAGCGAGTGAGCAGGGGAGGGGCTGGGGGGGGCGGAGAGAGAGCATCTTAAGCAGGCTCCATGCACACCGTGGAGCCCAACACAGGATGTGGAGCTCCATCTCAGGACTGTGAGATCACGATCTGAGCTGAAATCAAGAGTCGAACCCGCTTAACCCACTGAGCCACCTTATCAGCCCCTGATATACTCCTTTGGTTGTATAGCAGATACTGTCAGTCACCACACCCCCAGGCCTACTTGAAGGTCACTTGCACACAGCTCCTGAACTTGCTTCCCCTGTCTCTCCTGGGGCACTCTTGGCTGGGGAAGTGAGTGGGGGGCAGGCTGAAAAGTGGAGAGTTAACACCCCCCCAGGGAACCCTAAACCAAGCAGGGTCCAGAGTTAGTGGATAAATACTCCAGCTTTCAGTTCCTCAGGAGGACAATTCCCAATTGCCAGACGTGTTCCAGTCTCAGACTCCATCCAGCATGAAATCGAAGCTGCCCATGTGAAAAACCTGCTCCTCCCTGTATGCTCTATTTCCTTTCTTCCCTTTCTTGTCGCACGTGCCCACTCCTTCACCTTTTAAACTACTTGCACCCAAGTATTTGTCTCAAAGTGTGCTTTTGGGGGAACCCAAACTAAGACAATGAACAATCACTGGGTCTTGAACTGTGGTAAGTGCTTTTTCACATCCATTACCTTATTTAATTTTCTTAACATCTGAAGTACACATCATTTACAGATGAGGAATGAAGAGGTTGTATGCAGGGGCCGGATTCAAACCCAGGTGTGTTTAGCTCCAAGACCTGGTCCTTAACTACTGTGTTCAGCAGCCTCCCTGATTCTCTGATCCTCTTTGGGTCTTACATTTTCATCCATAAAACAAGGGATGGGATCTTGAGTTTGAAGGGAGACAAGGTACTGTTTCTTCTAAAGCTGGGCGTGGTCAGTGAAATGTCATCAGAAGCTATTGGGAGAGAAGGTGCTTTAAAAGGATGGACTTGGGGGCTAGGAGGCCCTTTATTTTGCCCTCCCTTTTATTTATTTATGTTTTTAAATTTGTTTATTTCTGAGAGAGGGAGAGAGAGAGACAGTGTGAGCAGGGGAGGGTCAGAGAGAGAGGGAGATACAGAATCTGAAGCAGTGCCCTCCCTTTTCTCTTCCTTCTTTTCGGAATGTATACATGAAGGCTGCAGCCCCAGTTGCCACCTTGGGCCAGGAGCCACAACGAAGTGTTCTAAACTGCATGCTTAGATAGGTGCTAAGGAAGAAGCTGAGATGAAAATCACCCAGGGACCCTGCTCTCAAGGAGCTAATCATTTAATGGGAGTGGCTGGATGTGGATAGAAAGAATCAGAGGGTGGATGGAGATCAGCTCCAGGAGCAAGCTGCAAAGTGCTGCAAGCGTTCAGGGAGGGAGGAATTCCACTCGGGAATTAGGGAAGATGTCACAGACGCTCTTCCTCTCTTTCTTTCACTCTCTTGAAGTTTTTAAGTAAGCTCTACACCCAGCTTGGAGCTTGAACTCACAACCCTGAGGTCAAGAGTCACATGCTTTACCAACTGAGCCAGCCAGGTGCCCTATAGGGAAGGTGATTCCTTTCTCTTTCTCTCTCTTTCTTTCTTTCTCTCTCTCTCTCCTCCCTCCCTCCCTCCTTTCTTTCTTTCCTCCTTTCTTTCTCCCTTCTTTCCTTTCTCTCTTTCTTTACTTTCTTTCTTTTTATGTGTATTTATTTTGAGAGAGAGAGAGAGAGAGAGAGAGAGAGCGGTGAAGCAGGGGAGGGTTAGAAAGAGAAGAAGAGAGAGAAAGACTCTCAAGCTGCCAGTGCGGAGCCCAACGCAGGGCTCTAAAGAACTCATGAACCATGAGATCATGACCCGAGTGGAAATCAAGGTTGCTGAGCCACCTAGGTGCCCTGAGAAGGAGATTTCCAAATAATGGCAAGGATTTGACAGTGAGATGGAAGAGTGGGGGGTGGTATCTAGTCAAAGATAAGAATATGAACAAAAGTGTGGAGGTGACAAAGACAGGGCTTGGTGAGGAGTCCTCGAGTGGCTCAGGCAGGAAGAGTTGTGAATGCAAGGCAGGTGAGCTGTGTGGGCTTAAATGCCGAGCTAGGGAACTCAGGTTATCCTGCAGCAGAGGAGGCAGTACTCGGGGGTGTATTTTAGGATTATTTGGCTCAAAGACAGGAGACCAAACCAGAGAGGCCTGCAAGAAAACACTCAAAGTGTGCAGATGAATCTAAACTGTGCAGAGATAGTCAGAAAGCAAAGCAAGGAAGGAGACGGATGGGAGAGAGAGAGATAGATTCAGAGATTGACAGAGAGAGTGCACCCGCACAAACTCACAATTTAATTAGCTTCCTCGTTTGCCAGTGGATTACAGAGGAATTAGCAGAGCTCAGAGTCTAGGGACCTTGCTGGGAGTTGAGGGGAAGTTAATGAGAAAGACAGCAACGTGCCCCAGGGAGAAATGAAAGAGGAGGAATTGTTAGCCCAGCAGAGACTCCGGCAGGAGAAACAGATGTCAGGGCGCAGAGTCTCCGCCTTGTTCAGAGACTTCAGCCCTCCGGGGGGGGGGGGACAGACGCTTGGCACTCCTGGGTAGGGCTGCCGGCTCCATTGCC